TATACTATTATTGCCGTAATTTTCCGAATGGCCATCCCATTTTCCGAATATGTCAAAAGTTGGGGGGGGGGGTTAACCACCCCCCCAATACCCCCCCTCGCTACGGCCCTGATAGCGTTAACTTACGTGTTAACAACCACAAATTAAATACAGTACTTACCCTCACACTTATCATTTTGACTTCATGTCAAGATATAGTAATAGTGGTGCGGAGCGGGGGGAGGGGGCTTACTAACAAGGGGCGGGGGAGCACTTTCGGGTGGCAAATTTTTTTACGGATTTCATACATTTTTTAAGGATTTTGAGGGATTTATTATTGATTTTCGGTAATAATTTAGATGTCTTTTTTTGATGCGTACGAGGTTTGTTGTCCTAGAGCTAGTTCAAAACAGGTTGTCGTTTGCAAACCTTAAACTCTAAAACTTAAACCTTAAACTCTAAGCATGTAAAGCATAATGGAAGCATCATTTAATTAATTTATAAATTATATATAGGGGCAGCTTTTAGAGACATGGTAAATATCTCCTTACGAGAACAACTCATTATTAAATTAACAAATAGTTGCAATAATGAACTACTAAACTTGAAACTTGTGCTCCAATTAAGCTTTGCCCGCTTATAGAGTTTGCGGTTGATAGTTTAAGGTTTGCAAAGCACAACCTTTTTTGGAATTAGCTGTATATACCCCTCGCCTAACACTATCGCTTGTGTTCTAAAACCTCGCTCATACTCAAAGAGTGGAGGTTCAATATGAGCTTTCCTTGAGCGCCAGTGTTGTTTTTGAAAGGTGAAGGGTGAGTTGTCAAATAGTACGATCTTAAGATCTATCTATTCAAAAACAGCACTGACACTAAAGGGAAGCTCAGATTGCAACTCCACTCTTTGAGTGTGAGTAAGCTTTAAGAATACAGGCGTATGATATGTATCTCTGGAACATTATAATATGTGTATAGTTATTACCTATACGTGGCTTTTGCTTGGGCGACCTCCAGCAGCTCTTGACTGAGATCTAAGCCATCTACATTTTTATAACCACGCTTGTGTAATTGTTCTCCAGCTAAACCAGTACCACAGCCGAGATCTAGAATACTGACATCATCCTTATATCCAAATTCCTTTAGTTTTTGTGTCAACTGCTCTGCAGCTACAGCTGGACCAATGTAAGCTAAGTCATGCACATCCTATGAACGAAATATGAAGAAAAGTGATTATACTGAACTAAAGTAAACTCTAGTCACTATACAGACTGAAAGTTTCGTCCTACGTTTACACGGTCTAATATAATACTAGAGGAATTCGAGCACAACTGAACCTATGAATAATTCCCATGTGAACGAATGGAACTGGGTTAATTTCGAATTTTCACGACTCCTAAGTTAGATGAATGTAAAAGGCGGAATGTCCGTTCTTAATAGCATGCGGACGCAAATTTCAAGACATTCCTAACCCTAATCCTAGCCATTACAATCTCTTAACCTCACCCTAATCCATTCCACACTCACTCCGCATGCTATTCCGTTTTGTTCATTTGCCTGTCCAATTTGAAGAAATTAATTACTTAATATACGCAAATTTCCGTGGTCTAATTACCAAGAAACAAGAAGTCCTGCCCAGTAAGATACTTTTCATGTATCGTATTTACTCGTTGAAAGCGCACACTTAGGCCGCGTTTACATGAGAGCGGATGTTTACATGAGAGCGGATGTTTACATGAGAGCGGATGTTTACATGAGAGCGGATGTTTACATGGGACCGGATGTTTACATGAGACCGGATGTTTACATGAGACCGGATGTTTACATGAGACCGAATGTTTACATGAGACCGGATGTTTACATAAGACCGGATGTTTACATGAGACCGGATGTTTACATGAGACCGGATGTTTACATGAGACCGGGACGAAAAGAACTCAGACTGGTCTCAAGTCATTCCGCCTGCTGGACCGACCCGACTGACTTCAGACCGGCATGAATTCAGACCGGGATGAATGTAAATACAAATACATTTCAGGCCGGTCTAGGCTGTAACCTTGACATTGGAACAACACATGCTAGCAAAAGCCACCTGAAAAAGAAAATTGCCTGGCAAGGGGAAGCAATTGAAAATTTTGTGATTTTCGTACTGGTCTCATGTAAACATGTTCAGATCCAAAGGTCGGAGTGCTTGAGTAATAATAATGCATAACCAACTTTTCAGTGTTTACATTGATTGATTGCGCTGATCACTGCCCGCATAACAAATCATGATCAATCGTAATTAACTTTTGGTAAACAGTCAAAACGATCCATGCAACTAAAAATTATATCCTTTTTTATCTTGTTGTCGAATTTTCTGTGTTTCAGGTCTTTTAGCTTTGTGTCCATAAGCTTTTGTTGCCCATCACAGCAAATGTTTAAATATTAATTTACTTAAACCTATACCGGGTAATAAAAAAACGCAACCTTGGAATTTTCTAAGAAATCCACTTTGCAATTCCTAAGCATAAAAGATTTCAGGCCCCTGGGAATTGAAAGCGAATTGCTACTATTAGTGGCGTATTACCAGTAGCATAGTCTTGGAATGTTAACAAGGGGGGCTCTCCAAAAGTGTCCTGAATTGTGGGAGGGGTAGAATACGATATTTCGGAAATTCTAAATTTTGTTGGGTTTTTCTAGTCATTGTGGGACAAACATTCAAAATTATTTTTATTAAAAACAATTGCCGTTAGTAATATAAAATATTCTGAGCATCTCAAAAGGGTATGAAATTCAAGGTTTATGTGCCACTTTTTGAAGATGTAAAGCCGGTGGTACCTTCAAGCGAAAATTCAGTGGCATGATTATAGGTTAGCAAAAAAAAATTGCCGTGAAAAAATGGGAAAAGCGGGGTTCAGAAAATATAAAAATTTCTTGTTGGGACTTTGACTTTGATTCCTGGTCTAAAATTAATTTTCCATATTGCTAGCAGCCTAATATTTATAAACTGTTGAAATATCTTCGGTAAGCTCGTTCAATAACAACTGTACATAATATCAACAAAACTGAAAACACTCAAGTGAAAATGCTCTGGACAGAGTTTAAATCAGACAAACAGGATCAATACTTCAGCAGCCAATTTGCTACGGCGCATGAACAACGCGATTAAGTAAATATTACAGAAATCATTATCGTGTTAAATGATGACTAAAAATGAAATGCACCCGCCCACTAAATGATGACTAAAAATGAAATGCACCCGCCCACTGAACCCCCCCCCCTCTCCACTACACCACAGCACTGTATATTACTGTTGTTGTACTGTACTTGTAAAATAAAAACTTCATTAACTGTCATTAAATAAATGCATAAATTTTGCTTTATGCACTCGCGTGTGCAGTAATTATGACAGTTGTGCTATTTTAAATTCCCAGGCACCTAAAATCTTTTGTCCTTAAAACAATGACGATTTCTTGGGAAATTCCAAGGTTTGCAATTCATTTTTAGGCCCCTGGGAATTGAAATCGAATTGCTAATAGATCATATTACTTTTGTTGTACTGCATGTTAACTAAGTGCACAAATTTTGCTTTATACACTCGCGTGTGCGGCAGTAATTTTGACAGTTGTGCTATTTTAAATTCCCTGGCACCTAAAATCTTTTTTCCTTAAAACAATCGGTCGATTTCTTGGGAAATTCCCATAGAAATAAATGACATAGAATGCGTACTTGATCACGAATCATGGTTGTTTACCATTTACATGGAAATTCCGGTGATTCCATGCGGAAAGTAAATGGAACAAGCATATTTCGACGGCCCAACCGGAACTTTTCCGGAATAAACGGTTTGTTTGAAAAGGTTGTCCTCTCTTAGCGATTGGAAAGTTTCAAGCGGTAAATGTTGTTCCATTTACATTTTTAAAATTTTTTTCACCAGTTCCAGGCTCTTCGCGATTTAACATTTGAAATTATTAAATGGAAGCGAATAATCCGAATGGGATTTTCTATCCGAAATTTTGCTTATCATTAGCACAATTTCAAACCGGATGGGTTTTACATGTAAATGGTAAACAACCCATATCTCCATTTTTTCTCATGCGTGCCCTTATAAATCTGCCATGTTAACTTTGTCTAGGAGTGCCAAATACAAAATATAAACAAAGCTAAAACTACGTTTTCATCGTCAAAACGTTTGTCTTGATGTCTAATTTGTAGTTTGGGGATAGATTTTAAGTTCTTTGAAGGCACAAACTGTCAAAGCAATTGTGCAGTTACAAAAACGGTGAAAATCGTGCAGCCTTGTAAACAAAGTATTTTCGCGTAAATATAATTTACTCATAAAACATTTTTGCATGCTCTGAACGTCATTACTTCACTGTTTTGCTAACATTTTATATTACAAAATAATAGTTCTTTCTTCGTCGGCGGGTTTCGTTTTTCTTCAATGTAAACGAAGTGTTTCACATGTTCTTGAAACAAAAATATTTAGTTGTCGATAAACAGTAAATTGTCTAAATAATCGTCGAAAACTATGGTTTCAAAAGCGTTGCCTCAAGCTCAAGCAACGTAGAAAAATATGAAAAATTTAAAAAGATTATTGAACTTCATTTATATTATAAAAGAGTTGAAATATTTGTAAAACATGCCTATTGAGTGTGAGTTTGTCTTGATCTTTCGGGTTTTGTTTTGTCATGCACAACAACGTTGAAAATTTATTTTTAAACGATATATTCTGTTCAGAACTGTTGCTTTTCGCCGTAAAAAAGCCCACTAGTATGGGTTTTTAGACACTTTTTCTTCTTTGTAAAACTTTTTTCCCTTTTTTCCTTTGTAAAACTTAAGTCTCGATGCAGTTGAAAAAAACAATTCCCATTCCGTGCAGCCGCGCGAAATTCCACGCCTCAGGAGTCTGGGACCAACCAAAACGCCCTTATAAATCCGCCATTTTGTGGAGACAAAATTTTCACTGAGAAAAGATAGGAGTACGCATTCTATATCTATTATTTCTATGGAAACTCCGAGGTTGCAGTTTTTTTTATACACCCTGTAGAAATCTATTATTTTTAAACAATCTTGGTGCAAGTCTATTAGCATACCATGACTAGCTGTCATGGCTAGTTCGCCCCTGGAATAAACTTAATCGATCATTTAGGTTTTTTTTCGTCAAACTAATTCAGTTTACTGAAGGTAAAACGGCAAAACAGTCCGACAAAACGACTGAAGGCAAAACAGCCCGGCAAAACAAGACAAACGTTTGCTAATTTCTCATCCAATTTTTAAGGAATCTGTAAAGAGTGCCATCCTCAAAATTTAATGAATCGCGATTTAAATAAGCGCCCCACCCGCAATACCAATTATTTAAAACCTTACTTTAAGCAAGTAATTCCTGTATTGAAAGGTGTTAATTATAGTATATAGTTATCACCTCAAAGAAACCCAGATCTTGTGTTTCATTAGTGCAGAATGACAACAACAGAAAGTCGGCTGATAAAGTGTTATACTGTATATTAATAACCGTAATTTAATGGTTATACAGTGTGTATAAAAAAACTGAACCCTTTCAAATTCAAATTAGCTATAACGTATTGTAGTAATTTGACAGCTCTACTCAGCTCTAAATTAATGTTGGATAAGAACACAAGGTCTTGTATTCATGGGACAAAACTCAAAGAAATAAAAATTTAAAAGAAATACAGTATTCCTTCATTTCCTTGTGTTCTTACCCAATCATTAATTCAAAGCAATTAGAGCTGTCAAATTACTACAATACGTTATAGCTAATTTGAATTTGAAAGGTTCAGGTTTTTTTTATACACCCTGTACATTCAAACAACAATCGTCATGACATAATATTTCAACAGCAAATATGTTACGAAAGTATTAAAAATAGTATAAAAATAGTTCAATTTGCACCCCAGGTAACTATAAGATACTAGTTACGTCGAATGGAGAGATAATGAGCATTTTTGACGAAAAATAAACAGATAAAGTATAT